TGGTGATTTAGATGGAGACTTCATTCTCTTTTCGACAACAAAACCACCAATGGTAGCAAGTTTCCCAGCTCTAAAAGCACCTTTCCCATAAGACCTGTATTTTTCCATATTGAATGACTTTTGCCGGAGTGCAGCTAGTTCCTTCTTGGAGCGGCCCTTTCGACCAGTCCCTGGTTTTTCTTCAGAGACAGATGTAAGTGGGACATAATCCCCGGAAGCACCCACAGAAACCAAACACTCTTTCTCTGGTGTCAGCCCTTCATAAGTGAGAGGATTTTCGGGGTTAGGTGAATTGGGGAAACTTCCAAATTTGAGTGTTTCGGGCAGATAATTTTGGGAACAGGGGAATGAAGGTTTTGAAACATTGGGCTTACTGGGGCTTGGAAGAAAGGTTTCAGGGTGTTGAGTTTCTGATCTCGAGAGGGGGTTAGAATCAGAGGAGTTCTCTCTTGAGACTTCCGTACAACCAAAATAGTGAAATATATCTCCTTCCACTTCACATGCCACTGAAATGTTCAAGTCGCACATTAACAACCACCACATTGCTTCTGCAATAGATAGAGATGGTTTAACCTCTCTAAGCACACCAATCATCTCCAGCATTGTATACCCTACTAGCTGCTGCAAATCCTCAAACACATTACTTGAAATATCACCTTCTTCTCCTTTCTTCAAGGAAGCCAGAGCATCATTCACAACATTTGACACAAGATCTTTACCCCCTTGGTAAAGGCCATGCCTTGAAATAGCCTTTTCAGCAATATCTTCTTTATATCCACACTCTATAATCCTTTTAATTGCAGTTTGGAAAATTGTCCGCAAATTAGATAACAACAGTTCCTCAAGTTGACATGCAATTGGATCATCCCAATCAGAATGTTCAAAATCTTCTCTAAGTGGCACCCTGGAGGAACTTGCCTCCAATGGTCCAAGTACAGGGCCTCTGAATATCTCCGGAGGTAATTCATAAAGAGGGAATTCAGTCTTAGACAAGGGAACATGTACTGGATTCTCTAGAGAAGGATCATCTAATTTTCTCTTATTCTTGCTTCCTTTGTCCTGAGGTACGACAGAAGAAGACCCTAGTTTGCTAGCAGCAGCAGCACCACCACCACCACTATCAGTCTTTTCATCCATCTTACGAACAACAATAAGAAACTCCCCACAAGTCGACTCTCTCTAAATAAACCCTATATAACCAAGAAAGCAAGCAAAAAATGAACGAAAATGGGAAAACATAATAAAAACTCAATTTGACAAAACAGAATTAAAAACACATTCTTCCAAAGGGAAATGATTAACAGTTTGATAAAACAATTAAACAACATTGCAAAGTAAATACAGCAATGCTCTAATGAACAATCATTAACTACAGGATTAAATCATATAATACTATAGTCTACGTTACAATAAGGAAAAAGAATAAAAAACATACCTGTATCACTAAGAAATGGCAAATGAGGACGAAAACCTTTTAACCTGTAAGCAAAAGAAAAAAATGAATAAAAAACAAAGCTATATAGCTATCAAAACCAACCATCAAACACCTACCGAACACAACCATTTAGCCAAACAAGTTAACTCTGATTGTTCCACAAAAACCTCCCCCTATTATATATAGCCATTTTCACAGATACCCATATCACCAAACAGCACACAGACTCGTAAAACCCTCATCTTGATCTGAAAACAAATTTTCCAAAAAAAAACACCTATAACATACGCTTAAACAGATTTTTTTTTTCCCACTAGAAAGGTTCAAAAACAACACCCAGAAAGAGAAGCATAATGACAGCTTTCTCATACCTAGAATTGGATTAGATAAAAACAAGATGAGTAGCTTAGTGTTACAAATGCACGATAAGAAGATGAATCTTTTTTTTTTTTTTTTGTGGGGTGCGTTACGTTGGAGGGAAAGTTAATGGGGGTGAAGTTGTTTCCATTCTCTTGCTGTGGCCGCACTGCAGCAGCCGCTTTCAGTGCCGTGTGTTTTCCTGTTTTTAATGTCCTTTTCCTTGAAGGGAATGGGTTTATATAGGAGGTGATTTACCAAGTACTCCACCCAAATGTGGCCCAATCCTTGGCTCCTTTCTCCATAAATGGTTGTGTCTAACTTTCAACATACCACCTTGGATGCATTCAATGGATCACAGCATAATTACACCCCTTTTAAATTTCAGGTTCCATTAATATGTTTTCAACGGAAGACATGATTCATGAATTATTATTTGGGAAGTTTTTTTTTTTTAATTCTTTTGTTCTACCATTACCCTTTTTATGAAGTGTTGAAGATTTGAATATGGTAATAAATCTAAAGGGTATCACCCATCATTATCAGTTTCTTAAAAACATAATAAATAAAATGAGTCAATTCCTTTCCAACTTGCTCTTGGTAATTCTGTGTGTGTGGGAGAGAAAGAGTGGATGATGATGATGAATTTAATGTTTTACTTAGTCAATTAGGCCTATTAGACAAACTGGGTTTCCAGACAGCCAATGGTGACTTGCCATGCCAATGACTAAGGGACTGTTTAGGCAGTTTCACTTATGTGGTGAATGAATGGATTTCTTTATTCACTTTTCTAATATCACTGAAACAAATTTTAATTCAAAAGGATGAAGTCTTGATAAATCCTTTTATGTAAAGATGATGATCAGGCAACTCTATCTGTGTGAATCCCAATGTATTTCCAATTTTTGGTAAGTTGTAGTGGTTTTACCTTAATTGGGGTATACTAAATTTGCAGCTAGATAGTAAATTTTGCATTTCTTATTTCCAACTCTGGTGGTTTTCCAGCTGTAACTTTTAATTTTCTTTGGTTGTTTTGTTATTTTCCCTTCCTGGGATTGTTGGTGGAAATCTTTTCTTTTTGGTCTATGTGGTGTCCTGTTTTTTTGTTTTTGTTTGGTACTGAGGTATATGCTTTTATTCTTTTGGCCTAAAACGGAACGATATGATTGCAAAATGAACCATATTCAACCTCCCATTACTGACACATCTCAGGGCAAATTCAATTTACGGACTTTAATCCTACTGAGCTGGGGGATTTTACATCAATAAGGGGGAGAGTAAATTTTAAATATATAAATATAAAAATTTTATTATTTATTAAATATATTTTTTATTAAAAATGTAAACTCATCATTTATATACTTATAATACATCGAGGTCATTATACAATTGAATGGATAAAATATCATATATTATTTTACAAGAAGAGAGGGAATAAGTCTTGAATATATAAACTATATCAAAAATATTTTTTGAAATGAAAATATGGACTTATGATTTATTAGTTTACTTAAATTGTATATTCAGAGTATCAAGTCGCACGAGGTTAGATTTAAGTTTCGATCCGAGACACTTAAATAATAAATTATAAATTTAAATATTTATTTAAAAATTAATAATTATAATAATTAAGTACTTGCAAAAATCTATATATCTATTCTTTTCTTTGAAAAAAGAGTACAATATATTAAAAATATATTTTTTCACAATTGTAAATTAAATTTTATACAATCAACCCTATGCATATCAAAAATAATATTATCCAACGTGAATTTCATTTCAAGAGTCATGAAAAAAAAAGATTTAATAATGTTATTTTAACTTTTGAAATAGTGGTAGAAGCAACTAAACCACACAGTGATATTCAATATCAAAATTATTTAACATCAATTAAGAGTAGGAGATTGCTCGGAAGTTTTATGTAATGAGATAATCAAAGATTTTTGTTAAAATAAAAAAAATAACAATATGCATTATCGATTTTCGAAGATATTTGACGCTCGGGAATGATGCTAGATATGCAAAAACATTATTATCATTTAATCTTAAAATCTAATCACAAACAAGCAAGTGAGCCGCATTTGTTAAAAGGGTGTGAGACTGTGAATGGTCTTCTGTATAAGAAAATAAAGTCCCCGATGACGTAATGTAATTGACACCTAAGATTTTTGTTTTTTAACTATTCCATATTAGCAAAATAAGATAATAGATATAATTAATACAATAACTATATGGACTGCACAATTTCCTCTGATATCTATTTATTTATATGGACTGCAGATAAAATATAATCTTATTTCGAAATGAAACGATTCTTTATAATTGTTTGATATAATTTTTTAGTAAGTCAATAATTTGAATTTATCTGGTATCTAAATTGTCAGAAGTCAAAAAAATAGTTAAAGAATCTTATTAAGATAAAAAATAAATATAATAACATAGAGTAAAAAATAAAAGGAAAAGAAGAACCAACAAAATTTCTCAATAAACATACCTGTCGTCTTGTACAAAATTAAAAAAAGTTGAGTGCCATTTACCTAAATACCTTGAAGTCGAGTGGGGTGTGTGTAATTGTAAACAAATATGAAGTGACGTCACTGCATGGAAAATCATGTCCCTTGCAATTCCTGATTGCGAGCTTAATAAACGCATGCATGCCTGGTTGTTTTCGTGTTATTATGTTTCCTACTTTTTAAAAAAAAAATTGAAGAAAGAAATTTAAATTTTATTTTTTTAAAAAAAAAATCATACACTCGTTAATGGATTAAATATTTAGATGCATACTATCATGTTTCGTTAGTTGCTAGCATTTTCTAAATTTTTAATTAACTGCTCCAAGAATCAATGACTCATGCAATTATGATGAATATTGACTCTGTTTTTCCCCATTGCAGCTCAGCCCGATAGTGGTTTCAATCTTTTAGTCTTTGATTCTCCATGGGAAAACGGAAGTGCTTGTCAGAAATCAGTGTGTGTAATCGCATTCTTTAGTGTATCAAATGCATTCATGATAGCTTTGACAGTGTAGAGCTTGCTCACCATCCTCTTGGGGCGTTGCTCTTGTTCATGCATTTTCACACGTTTGGTTTCCTCATTGCTTCAGCTACCCAACTTACGCACAGAGTGAGCGCACGTGTGGCCTTATGGGTGACAAATAGAGAGAAATTGCGTCGATCATCGATGGAAACCAAAGTTGCTAGACTCGGAGTTTGCTTGTAAGGTAAATTCTTGATATCCAACAATGATTAAACACATTAAAAAAAAAAACCAATGATTAAACACCTGAAAACACTGACAAATGTAAGGCGATAATTCTTGATATATAATTTCTTTGGGCCATCGGAATGTCATTGTTTTTGAATGGGAAATAAACACATCGCACGAGGTTAGCCATAGACAAAAACCACAGAGCTAGCTACGCCTAATCCAATTCCCTCGAGCATAGGCATCGATATCATCCAGGGGAATTAGGGAGTCTTGTCTTATATGATATAAGAAGCACCTGCATCAGCTGCCGAACCTTTTCATCTTAGCATTTCAGCTAGAGTAACAGAGTCGCAGTTTGTTTAAGGCACTTCCTTGGTAAGAAGAACACTTAATTCCAGATTTCCACTGGTAAAAACCCACAAGATGGCATTACATTGGATAAGTTATGCATTCACTCTCTTTGAAAATATCTTGAATCCTGAAAGTGAAGGGGTTCATTGCCCCAGGATGCCCAACCACCTACCATTTCTCTAGCAAATAGTTCAATACATCGAGCAGGTTTAACTCCTGGAACATGGCCCAACAGTAATTCTATAAACATAAAAGGAAAGAAGAAACAAGTTAGAAATGAGAGAAAATTCAAGCTTTGAGTAGCCAAGTAAAAGTTGGTTTATTAGAATAACAAAGGTTACTCCACAATCTTAAAAAGATGAATTAACATATACAATGATTTTTTTAATTCAAACAAAAGAAAGGCATTATTGGGAAAATAATTCATCTTTCAGTCAAGAAGATCCCCCACAGCATGGCAAAATATCTATAAATACTTAAATACTTACTTACCTCCAATTGGGGGCTTCCTTGAGTAACCTCCTGGAATGCTTATGACGATCTGTTTGTCTTTTACTGACCTAAATTCTGAAAGGTATTCTGAATCTGTTTCCTGCAAAATTTCAACAGTGTAAGCAACAGAAAGAATCCAGGCAAGAGCAATTAGCAACTAAAAACATGTTCATTGCCACAGCATACATTCATCACTTTTCCATGACAGTATCCCAGGAGAAGGCATTCATATGGCCGATGATGAAACAGGTCAAGATCACTGATCAATGAGCCATCTACTTTCACCTAAAAATCACAAGAAAAGCCTGATAAGTGAAATCATAACTCGCAAATCAGTGCTGTTTTAACTTCATGCAAACAAACACACACAGACAGAAAAGGTGAAGAGTTTAACCTTCAACCAGTAAACAGTAGACAAATATCTAACTCCCCATGCCGGGAATAGCTCTTTCTCAATGACATTATGCAATTTCTCTCTATTTGTCACCCATAAGGCCACAAGTGCGCCCTCTCTGTGCGTAAGTTGCTTAATAGGAAGGGATAAGAAATACCGGTGTGGTAAAGTTGGGTAGCTGAAGCAATCCGGAAACCAAATGAATGAAAATGCATGAACAAAAAGAAAGCCCCAAGAGGATGGTAAGCAAGCTCTACACAGTCAAAAGCTATAATGAATGCATTTGATACACTAAAGAATGTGATTACACACACTGATTTCTGACGAGCACTTCCGTTTTCCCATGGAGGATCAATTACTATAAGATTGAAACCACTATCGGGCTCAGCTGCATTGGGGAAAAAGAAAGTCAATATCCATCATAATTCCAAGAGTCATTGATTCTTGGAGCAGCTAATGAAAAATTTAGAAAATGCAAGCAAATAACTAAGCAAGATAGCCAATAAACAACCTCGCATGCATGTATTAATATCACAAGCAGGAATTGCAAGTGACATGATTTTCCACGCATGACTAAATGGTTGAAGATGGTTCCTCAACAAGAGGTTAGAACAGTACATACCATGGTTAAGGAAAAATACTCGACAATGGTAATGGGTTTGATGTGCAATAATTACCAGGAACAAGGTTGTGAAGCTGCCCCAAATCGGACTTCAACATGATATAAGACAAAACATATAAGAACAAGAAAGACACAATAAAAATGAATCTGAAACACATTTGCATTTATAAAAAATAAAGTTCAACTGAATCATAATATTATACCAATTAAAACATTCCCACCAATTCTATGATTGTGATAATTTTTCTTATTCTTTTAGAAAAAAGAAGAAAAAAAATCAACATACCATATAGAAGCAACTCTCTCTGGGTAATATATAATGGCGGTTCAGAAATTCAGCCTCCACTTCATCATGTGTGTCATTCACGACTAAGTTATTAAAAATCGGAAGCACTCTCTGCCCACCGTTTCCATTTTCTGAAACAGAGATGAAAATCAATAGCAAAGAATCAATTAATAAAAGTAAAAATCTTTATTTTAATCATTAAATCAGTGAACCAAACCTCCATTATCACTCTGGTTTGTCAGTCGACTAAGTTTAAAATCGAGAGTTATATCATACAAAGGAGCTTGCCAGACCCTTCCAAGCTCAATGAAAGAATGTTCTTCGCCACCGCATAATTCCTTCGAAGAACAAAAATGGCTCCTTAATTTGCTCATAATCGCTAGAAAATCAGCCGCTCCAAGTAAAAGTTCATGCGCCTTTAACAATAAAGGCCTCGCCTCCTACAAGGAACAGGAAAAAGAAATTAAAACTAAATTAAACTTCTAAAAGAATGCTGACATAACTGGTCGATGAATTACCTGGTGGCGTTGATCGGCGGCTTGTTCTTTTTCATTGAGGGAGTGAGGTTGTTTCTTCGGTTTTCGTTTTCGTTTCTTCGGATTAGAGGAGAGAGTGAATTCTTGAGCGGGGTGTTTGGATTCGAAGAAACGGGAGTAGTAGGCGGAAGGAGATACCTTAAACCGGGAGTAGGATCGGTTGAGCACGCGAACCGGGTCGATGAAGACGGCATTTGAGTTGGGGAATCGGTAAATACCGGAATCTAAGAATCTAGATAGCTCGTCGCTTGGTTTCGACTCGCCCTCCATTTTCGCAACTCAACTCAGATCAAGAACAGAAATTGTTCATGGACGAAGTATGCACAATTTTATAAGCCAAAGCCATGATCCTTCAGCCAACATCATTTGCAGAACTTCCTTCAAACACTTGGTACCCATTACTTTAACAGGACTAGTAATTCCTAAACAAATACGAAGAGATTCTAAAAGGAACAAATTACAGACTGTATCATATTTCTTGTCCATCAACATTCATGGCCATAGAAAAATAAAAAGCCTAATAAATTACAGAATCTGTATCATATTTCTTGTCCAACAACATTCATGGCCATAGAAAAATAAAAAGCCTAGAGCTTGAAATCAAGACCAATCTTCCAATAGAAGGCATTTGTTGACTATTCAAGGATAACGCAAGGGTGAGCTTTCCTTGCGGTGATCTGGTCGTGAATATTGACTATGTACAGACTTGGGTATTTGAAGGCTTTATCTAGTAGAAGGTTTTTGTCCGGGGAGGAAGAGCGGTTTACTGTTATGGGATTGAAGGGTTGTTAAATTGGAGTTTACCGTTTTAGCAAATTCTTAAGTCAAACATGAATAATTATGAGTCAAATATTTTCGATTTTTTACTATTAAAGATTATATTGATAAGTAGATGAAAAATCATATCACATATAATAAAAAATCATATTAAAAATTTAATTATTAAATATCATATTGAAATTTTAATTATTACATATTATATTAAAAAATAATTATTATATTTTATTTTTAAAATTTTAATTATTAGACATTATAATAAAAAAATTATTTCAAGTCAAGTTATATTTTGAACTGTTTTAATCTTATAGAAAATTTTTTTTGACAAAATTACCTTTACATATTTTACCTTTTCAAGTAAACTTATGTCTCACTTTAACTCTTAATTATAAACTTATGCCCCTTTCTCTGTAAATGTTAATAAATTTTGAAATATTATTTTATAAGACAATACCTTTCACCTAATAGGGTTAAAAAATTTTAATTTGTTATGCCACGTGGCAAAATTTTATGAATGGGGCACAGAATGGGACAGTTTTAAGTGGCAGAGGATTTTCATTCCTGTCCTAATCTGAATTTATCTGAGAAACCATGTCCACGTAGGATTCAACACGAGCGTCCAAAGAGAAGGGAAAAATTGCTTCGGCGGAGAGAGGATGGAGGAGCAGGAGAACATTACGAGTCGAGCGACCTCTAAAAGGGCGTCGAAGGTAAAGAAACAAACCTTGATTTCATTCATTTGTGTAAATTTATTTTCTTTCATGTAATAATGTTAAAAGTTATTGACACTGCTGGTGTGGTTGCTTTCTTGAACAAATTAAGTTGATCGACTTCAATTCGTGTTTGGTTGCTGAGAAATTGGTGGAAAAGCAAATAAAGATGAATTTCAGAGTTGAGTCTACAGACAAAAGATAATTTGTTTTAATTAGTTCAGTTCAGTTCAGTCTCCCTTTTGTCCGGGAAAGAAGAAAAAAAAAAAACTGAGATTCCGAAGACAGTTTTCCTTTTGGTCCACTAATCGGGAACCAGACAAGATTCAGGTAGAAATAGCTCGGGTTTTTTTCTATTTTAGTTTAGCAAAATGAGCTGTTCTTGAGCTTACTTTTTGAAATGTGCTTCGGTTTCATTTATGATGTAGTCTTTTGATATTAGTTTTGTTGATTAATGCGAGGAATGCCTTATAGATTTCACTTTTTATTACTGATTTGTAAGTTAATCCAGTGATAGGTTTTGTTTTGATTACGTAGTAAGGTTTGATGTGCCCTTTGTTAGAGAAAAAAAAAATGGCATGAAAAATGTTAAATGGGAATGAGTTAGGGAAAAAGTGTGTTAGTATTTTTCAATTTTGTTATGCAATAATGTGTTTAATCATATTATTGGTAAAAAATTCGTTCCAAAATTGTAAATAAAAATAAAGAAGATTTATTTGATAAAAAATCTTTTTAATGAATTAAGTGAAAACTGTATGACTTAAAAGATGGAGGAGAATGAAGATCTTATTAAGCATATAAACAAGTTTGATGAAATTATTGATCAATTAAAAAAAGTTGATGTGAAGGTGGATGAAGATGAGAAGTCACTATTATTTTTTGTATGGTTTTCAAATTCTTACGAAATCTTTGTAGAATTTTTTTATTTATCAGAATGAAACAATAACGTTAGAGTAAGTAGAAGTAGTGTTAATGTCCTTTGAAGCCTCTAAAGAAAAGTAGAAATTCAGGTAACTTGGTGTTAATGGTTGAGGTTCGAAAGAGCAAGTTTTCTTATAAAGAATCTGAGGGTGATAAGTCTAGACTCTACAATATTCAATACTTTTGATGCAAAAGGTATGGACTTATTAAGAAGGATTCTCTTACAAAAATAATGAGATTAACAACAATAAAAGTGAGTATGCTTTTGTTATAGATGGTGATGATTGTGATGTCTTTGCACTCTCAAAAAATATAAATGCAAATTTTAGTAACAAGTTGATATTTTATATTAAGTTAACAGTGATAATAATGTATGATGAGCTAGTAACCTTTTTGAGTGGTGTGACGTATATTTAATGATGTAAAAGAATCTAATATCATCAACCCTCCAAAAGGTATGAATTTTCTATTAATAGTAGAGTGGTAAGAGTTAGACCTGTCAAAATGAGCTTGGTCCGTTTATTTTTTTAAAATATGGGACAGGTCGGGTTAAAAATTTAAATTCATATTAAACCGGGTTTAAACAGGTTAGCCCGTTTAAGCTTTAGGGCTGACCTGGTTGGTACGGGCCAGCCCGGCGGGTCCAAAAAAAATTAAGTCGTGGGGGGGCGCGGGGGGAATCGGGTAATTCTCACCTCTCAGATGTTTTTCTCTGATTCTAGCTACTTGAGCAGGGAAAATCTTGTTCACGTACTTGAAAGTCTTGCACCAGTGGTTCATGGTTCTCAAGTACTGCATCCGCCGATGACCCAGAACTGTTCATTCCGCACCATTCCTTAAGGCCAATGCCTGACCACTTCACTTCAAGAAGGGAAAGGAAGGTGAGTGTCAAAGTGATGATGAGGAGGTAAAAGAGGAATGCAACATTTAGGCCCTGGACAATGAACTGCCCCGAGAAGAGAGAGAGCGCTGGGAGGAAGCAGTAAGTAACCAAGAAGAGGGAGGTGAAGGGGTAGAAGCCAACGTTAAGATACGCAATGCGTTGTAGGAACTTGAGGCGCCGAGTTGCAAGCAAAGGATTGTTCCTGGAGAAGAAGATTTCCCCTGAACCAGTGGCCCATCTCAGGACCTGGTGAAGGCGGTCAGTGAGGTTGATTGGCGCAGTTCCTCTAAAGGCATCACGCTTCGTCGCGCAGTATACAGACCGCCATCCACGGTTGTGCATCCTGTATCCTGTCACCACATCCTCTGTCACCGAGCCATAAATCCAACCTATTTTTCCTCCCCAATCAGTCTTATCTTCATACCTGAAAGATGAAAGAACAAAACAAATATCAGTCAAATTACAATGTACACAATTGTATCAGCTTTTTCTTCGGGAATGGTAGAAAGCTTTGAACAAGATCCACAATTTGTGCTGTTTTCAAGCTTGATAGAAGTCTATGCGCAAACAGGCACAGAAAAATAGGCTCCCACAGAAAATGGGTTAGCCTGGCCCGGCCCATGGGCTAACAAGAGGTGAACTGGGTTAAACATTTTGTAGTTCATATAAAATATGGGCTGGTCCGGCCCTGCTCATATTTTTTCAGCCCAAAGTTAGGGCCGGGTTGGGCCGACCCGGCCCATATTGACAGGTCTAGCAAGAGTCATATAAAGTGACATGATTTTAATGAAGGGAAATTTACATGATGTTTGTATAGTCTAAAAAGTGAGGCCTCGAAAGGATGTAACAATGCATAAGAGATGATAGTTTATCAATGAGAAATTGATGAAATGTTCCCATGATGTAAATGATCGTTAAAGGAAAAAATATTTTGCAAGTGTTGATGTATTGGAGAGATTGTCAAGGTTCATTTTAAAAATCAATTAGTGTCATTAACTTGACGAATACACATATGCTAGACCAAACTTGATTTATGATGTGTAGTTGTAATAATTTTAAAGATTAATGGTTTGAAAAGTTGTTCAAAGTATTTGAAAGTAGATAAAAATTAGAGAGTTGTAATTAAATGCAACTGTTAAAAGAAATTGAAGAACTTTAAATTCAAGTCAAAGTTAGAGATTTGTTAAGATTGTTGAGTTGCGCACTGAGAAAATAATGTCTATCTTTGTATTCGAAATTTGTAAAAGAGGATCTAGATGCATATATTCTCTTTTAAAAGGTCATATTCGATCATACACAAATAACTTGTTTTTGTTTTTTTTTTTTTCATTTTTTGAGAAAAAAAAATCCTGTACAATTATGAGGAACCTATAAATTTCTGTACATGGTTAGCAAAAGGGATTCCTCCTAAGAAATCATTTCTTGATGCCATTCTTAGACCACCTGTGATGCAAAATTCACGTATATCTAGCACCTGAATTATAATTATAGTCTGTAACATGGCTGTTGTTTTTGGTAGTAGTATAGCATTCAGCATTTCTTCAACATGTTAATCAATCGTAGATGCTCTGGCAAAAGAACCTAAGACCACCAGTGAGGTTCTTGGCCACCAAAGAAGAATCACAATCAGTTCAATTGGCTCAGGCACATGAGGCTGTCAGTCACAACTCGTTTCAAAAAAACACTTCACGGCAATTCTTGCAACCAAAAGGGCATGGTCATTGTCAACCTAGTCAGGTTTGGTATACTCAAGCAGCATGTGTGGTGACCTATAGATCTTCACTAGGGTCCAGTAAAGGACCTCTTCGACTCCAAGCTCACCTTCTGCTCTTGCAGCATATATATCTTCGCAGATGGCTATCAACCTACATCAAAACCAGATAAACAGATATCAAGGAACTAAGAAATGAATGACATTGTGATTCTTGCCTTCATCCTCCACCCTTTTTCTATAAATAAAGATCAATAGAAAACAGTACCTATCACAGGAAGGCAGGTTCTCATATGGTATTCTCATTCTTAAGTCAGAGCATTGAAGCCTGATAAACCGGCCAACAGCAAGCACAAAAGTTATGTAGAGACCCCAAATGCTGAACTTGCTTAGTGTGTCTCCAAGAATACCCTCTGATGCAGTATTGAAATATTAATAAGTAATAATAAAGAAAATCATAATAACTTGCTATCAAAATAGACATACAACATAAAGTGGGTTTTCCAGAACTTACGGGGTGGTGTTTCCTCAGATACTATTATGGCCATAGGTCCTGTTAAATCTCTGCAGCCCCTTACATTAGATGAATTGATATCATGGAAGGACCACCACTCAAAAGCTGCATGATTGATAACAAGATCTGCACTCACTGAACTTACCTGTTGAATTTGGTATTTCATTGTCGTCAAAAAATAGATTATTAATGATTCTATACCTTTTATAACTACTTTAATTTAGAGTCTTTTCCTGCACTGACTGAAAGATCGATAGCTTAAATTCAAGTACTAAAAGCTACTACATTACGTTTTTGCTAATAAGTCACTAGAGATGAAGAAATGCTAACAATGCAAAACAGTACTAGGTACCTCTTGCTCAAAAGGTCGGACTTCACCAGAACCGGTGACACGGAAGTATCTTGGATAAAGATTATATATCCTAAAGCTGTTTGTTGAACCATTGAGAACCTTTTGGACGTCTGATCGGTCTGGAAGATCCTTAGAATCAACTGTTTTATGATATTGCACAACTTCCTTGCCCTTTGGTCGTTCCCTAGTAAGCAGCCAAGTAGAAGTGATACCCATGTCCATGTCCCAGTCAAGGGACTGAATAAATCTTCTCTGAACCACATCAGGGACAAGCCACAAAATACTTGCATCAGCTTGGCAGCATATCAATTGTATATCATTCTTATTGTATGTGTCCAAATAATTTAGTGGATCAAGATTAACATCAGAATTGAGCTTATCCCATTGGAGCTTTTCACAGAGAGTTGTCTGATACAAGGTCAACCTTCCACCACCAGTGCTAATGTCTGTTTGAAAACTTGCATCTTTAATGGGGTTTGCCATATTTGTTGGATTGCCACTGCTGTACATCTGGCAGACAGAACAAAATTCATTGACTAATCAAGATATAGAATGCTTCTTCCACCTAACCAGAAGTAAAACTAACTAGACACTCAATGTTGTGCAAGACTTATGGTAACAGCATTAATGATGCTCATAGGCACTATAAGTACACTGCTAATGTCATTACTTTTAGTAAGACAATAGTAACATGCTAATTGTCAAGTTTAAGTGTAATATCACGAATCACTATTTTACAATTTTAAAGGTTTGATTTATGCTATGCTGTATTCGCTTGTCTCATATCAGGCCTCAAAGAACAGCAAATATAAAGAAGCTATCACAGAACTCGTTGGATCATCTGCCAACACTTCATAAAACTTCAAAAGAAGGATATAAAGAGCTCTGAGTTTACAAAGTATACATTCAAGCAATGGAACCTCCTTGGCAATGTTGCAACCATTAGTGTACATCCTAAGAAGAAACATAAAGGAAAGGGACAGCTGGTGTTACATATGATGATTTAGATTTAAAAAAGGACCATGAATAATTGACAATAGGTCAAATCAAAGTATTAAATTTTCTTCACCTTTTTCATATTATTTATTTTCCTCATTGATGCATTAGCATATCTATATATTTTAAAAACCAATTGCACTTTTTCTTGTAAAGGCACAATAATATGGGCACTCAAGAGATCAGCAGTAAATATTACATCCAAGACGTGAAGTACTTTTCTAATGCTTCATGCAAAACATTGCTAAGCTCAAGTGTTTGCTTTACATATTCAGTGTTTGCTTTTCTAATCAAATGGAATTCCTTCTGAGAAAAGTTTCTCAAACAGTTCACAGGTTCTATACATCAAAATATGCAAAATGGAACATCTGGTTACGAAGTCCCTTACCAGCATAGGAGCCCAGATAACACAAAGTAATATAAAGAACAGACATATTCCATTGCAGCATTTAGTCATTTTTGTTTGCTTTTCTCCTTGTTTGTGCTTTGCTCTGTTCAACACAGCATCACATTTGACAAGGTACAGACTTGCATTGATGTCTTCCAGCTGAAGGGGAAAGCTACATGTCAGTCTCTAAAAATCAGCAAGAAAACGATCCAATCAAAGATTCATTGCTTATTTAAAGTCAAACAACTATTCGTGATAAGATAATGAAAAATATCTTTGTCGGCCAAAATCAAGAAAAAAATTTATCTTTGCAATTATCGTTTTTATCACTGGCGTATGACTGTTGGCAAAGGATATATGTCAAGACTTTCCAATAAAAAACCCACATGATCAGACAATTTTAATTCACTTGCAAGCAATAAATGGATCCTCACGTACAAATGTAATATATAAGGTCCTAGCAGTTGGCAGTGCTGCAGTAGTACCGTCTTTATTTTCTGAATAATTTCCCCAAGTTTTCTTAATTCATTTATTTATTTTGTTTTCATGTTTCATTTTTGGAGAAGGGCAGGGGCTGGGCTGGGATGAATCCAGTTGATGGTAGTATACACAGTTGGATGAAGCCATGCAACAGGTTTCTTTTCTTAGTATGCTAATTTTAATTTGGCAAGCTTGGTATCTCCTGTTTAGGTGCAGAATTATAATTTTCTACACATCCTCTGGCCTTGGAGAATTAGGGTAAGTTTCTCCAGTTTAGTGCCTAGTATTTTAATTTAGGTTCTTCTGTCAAGCATCCTGTCTATGTTGTATAGGCAAAACCTAAATATAAGGCAGAATAAACCCCCACTAACTGATATGGGATACCAAAACTTAACACTGCTCTTCACAAGTAAGCCTAATGCTTACAAGTGAAACCAATGTATGAGCCACCTGGAATACAAATACAATGCGATAAATAATGAACAGAAAATAACAAATGGGGCATAACCTAGTTTTAGATACTGTGTTAAGCATCTAACCAAACAAGAAACTTGTCCAATTCAAGTTGATTATTTGCTTGTTTATTAGGTAGTTTCCTAATTGAGAGTCATTGTCCTTACAAGACAATAAATAGTCCAAGAGTCTGTAAAGATTACTGATGTATCCTTCATATTTTACTAGGATTTTAAATAAAGAAACAATAAACTGTTGACTACTTTGGTTTCTTGAAGGCATGGTGCCAATTTCCCTCTCTCTCTCTCTCTCTCACACAAAACCACACACACCCCACTCACTCACACACGCATGCAGGCCTGTTAAATATTCTTCAAATTAATCATGACCAAAACCTTGTTTCCTCCTCTAAATCTCCAAAAGCCAATGTTGTTACCCTAGAAACTCTCCTCATATAGAGCCAATAACCTAAAATAATCAGTCCAGATTTACCGGAACTTAACCTTTCTTTCCAGCAACTCAAACAGGTTGTAAACCTGGATGTTTCCACCACTTTCTAAGTCCT